ATTGTTATTGCTTCATTGGATTTACACTGTAGAGGAAACAATAGATTTTCTATAGATTATGCGGTGGAGGGTGCCGGGATGGGGTTTTATTGGCTTCTTCCTTAGTCTCCACTTTCCAGCACTATGTGATCTCAGGCTTGGTTTCATCCTCAAGTAGTCAAGCTTAATTTTGCTGGCTGTTCCTTGTGGAATCTATAGCCTTCTGGTATTGGAGTCATTTTAAGGATTTATCAAGGGGAGGTATTGTTCTTTATTAAGAGGGTCCTCAGTTGATTGTGCTTTGTGTTTCTCCCAAGCTCAGGTGGAGGGAGATTCCTTGGTGATGATTTAAGGATGAGTTATTGGGGTGAGCCATGAGCATATCCACATCTTATTAGGGAGCCTCAGTCTTTGGCTTCTTAATGGAGCATCTTGCTTACTGAATCAGTAGATTGGTTAATGAGTTAGTTGGTTCTTTAGCCCCAGTTTAGCTTGGTCCTTCTGAAAAGGACATGAGTGTCTTGGGGAGCTGATAGGTCATTGTGCAGTTTTTACGGTTGTTTTCCCCCTTTTGTTTTGTGGTCTTTTGTGTCTCATTTTCCTTCTTAGTAATAAAGTTTCTGCTTAATCTATGCTCCTAGTAGAAAAGGATGAGTTGAGCATCAAATTCATGCTAGTTTGGTGATTTCTCTGGGTCTTACAAGCTTATATGGAATAGCTGCAGATGTACATCCCTGAAATAAAATTGTAAAAAAGCAAAGGTGGTTTGTGAATTTATTATTGCCTTTGTACATCAAGCAAACATAGGAAGAGATATTCTACATAATAATTTCAGATGATGTTAAATAAGTTACATTTTATATGGGGCTGTCCATGCAGAAGCCTAACATTTATAAAGAGACCACAGGCTTACAAAAGTTTCGCAAGGAAAGGACTTGGTCAAATTGGGAGCAATCCAATATTCTTAAAGGATAACGTGGGCCTGGAAGGCTGGAACAGAAGAGAGAAAAAGATGAGCAGAGAAAAACCTCCAGACTTGAGTCCATAGTTGTCAAGGTGATGCCTAGGTGACAAGGCGTCCTTTGAGGCTCGCCTTGCCTAATCGCCAAGCAGTTTTTTACTTCCTACTATAAAATACTTTTTTGTTCATTCTTTTTTGGGATTATAATTATAAAATAAACATTATTAAACTAAAATAATCATTTTGTGTGTTTATATACTAATTTCTTTTTATTGTTTTCTTATTTATTAGGGTTTAATCAACACAGCATTGCTAAATCCTTTATTGAACCCTCAAAGAATTCAAAACCTGAACCAATAAGTAAGGAAGAACTTAAAATTTTATCTAGTCAGCACATTTTATTCTTCCATATATTCTTCTACTTCTTCTACTACTACTACTACTACTACTACTACTACTACTACTACTACTACTACCATTACTTTTTCTTTTCTTCTTTTCCTATAGCAAAAATAAGGGTTCATCCCCTATATTTTTTGAATTTTATTTTTCTCCTTTTACTTCTCATCTACTACTACTACTACTACTACCATTACTTTTTCTTTTCGTCTTTTCCTATAGCAAAAATAAGGGTTCATCCCCTATATTTTTTGAATTTTATTTTTCTCCTTTTACTTCTCATGAATATGTTGATTTTCTATACTTCAATATGAACTTTATACTTTTCTTATGAAAATTATGAATAGTTATTAAGGAAATATGGTTATGGTACCTAGGGAACTACCCTAGGATCTATATTTTCAACATAAAAAAATCCATTGCCTAGGTGACAAGGTGCCCCCCTGTCGCCTAGCCTCGCCTTGGCGTCTTGAAAACTATGCTTGAGTCCCACAAGAAACTATGGTTTTCTATCCATCAAAATAAAAAACTATGATTTTCTTGTGTGGGGTGCATGTGGATTCGCTAGGACCTGCAGAGTGCAGACCAAGCCACCCTGCTAGGGCTTGAAAAAAATTTGATATACAACCCTAAAATCTCTCATCCATGTGAGACATGATCAATTTCTCCCAAAAGCTTGGGTTCTGTGGATAGTTCTGTAAATTCTGCCAGCTTTCAAATTTGGGTTTATTTTTGAAATTTAGTGCTTCTATAGGTATCAATCTCTTGTTTAAGCATTTTAGAATCTTTAGAAATATTAGGAAGTGTTCAGTAGTTTTCTAGTGGTATTGAGAAGTCATCTTGGATCTTACATTATTTGTCTTAAAGTTGCTGCTTTATTATCTTCTTTTGGTAGGAAACAAGGGCTGGCAAATCCAACCAATTCATCATCATCATCCAAGTGTTATCCCAACTATATGGGGTTGGCTACATGAATCCTGTTGTACCATTCTGTTATGTTTAAAGCCACGAATCCAACCAATTAAGTCTATAAATATGCTTCTCATTTATTTGGCTAGTGAAGAGTTTTGGATATGAAATAAGATTTTAGATAGTGGTTTTTCTTGTGAGATGTGGCCCCTCTCTCTCTCTCTCTCCTGAAGGAACAATTTGTCTCTCTCTTCTCTATTCTCTCCTCTTATATTCTACTCTCCTATTATTCTAGTTTCTATGACTTTCTATGCTGCAATCCCCAATTTCTTGTAAAATCATCACTCCTTTATTCTCTAGTTTCTTTGTGCTATTACTTATCAAAAAAAATTGTGCTATTACTTATTCTCTAGTTGCTGTTTAAATTTTCCATTTCTTCTATTCTTCTAAATTCCAGATATGAAATCTTTCTATTTTCCCTTTCTTTTACCCTATATCAGATTCCTACCCACCATGCGAGATCTATGGAATTTTTTCCCTTCCTGTCCTATACAAAAGAAATTTGGGGAAAACATGCCATCAGGCCCTTGGAACCAAACCTTCAATTGTCCTCAATAGGGTGGGGAAGGGGGAGAAAAGCCTCTTTCAAAGGTTCAACCGTTGAAGAACAACAAGCAATGTTTGATCTAACTCGAGTACTTGACATCTCTAAGAAACTGTAAGGCAAAAAAGAAACACAATTAAACCTAGCCAGCAGGAGAAGCCTGGCACCACCATCAAATAGTAAGATTTTTGTAAAAGGAAAATTTGGTATTGATAAATTTCCCCAATTTGTTGAGTTTTTCAATGTCATTTTTCTGCTTAATGATTAATCTGTAGTTCAAGTGGGCTAATTGCTAGTTTAGCAGTTTGGTTTGCCACAGTTTGTAGGTGCTTAATTCAGTTCTAGGACCTCTATTGTTCATGGAGGCCTGCATGATTTCTTCTAGCAATTGTTATATCAAGGTTTCTTCCAGCATCTCTGGTGGAGCAATTGTGATGAAAAGGAGTTCAAAAGGGATGACCACTTAATGATGATTTTGCATGGATGCCCTTCATCAAACCAAAAAAAATCAGATTTTCGGAAGAATGAACTCATTATTAAGATGCATGGACAAGCTTCATGTTAAATGCCATGCTAAATGGGCATCCCCCACTATAGGGTTGTGCTCTCCAACTTTTGGTCTTCATTAAATTAAACTTTGGCTGATGCAGCATTGGCAACCCAGAAAATTTAGGTGAAAGAGCCTTTAGGGCTACTCATCAAGGAGAAATTCTATTGGTCAACTTGATGGGAAGAGGCATTAGGGGTTCCATTTGGGATGAATTATTGAACTCTATATTGGGTTCTGATTTGCCGCTCAGTAGGCTATTGCAACCTAGGCTTTTTTAGAATCAGAACCAGAAAAGCATTACATGGTGTAATGGTAAAATCTCAGGCCATCAAGCATGAGAATGTGGGTCAAGTCTGAGAGCGGCCACTTTGTGCAAAAAAAGCCAAAGGTTAGGACTGTATCCAGTCCACCCCTCCCAAGGCCCCAGATAGCTGGAATGGTGGAACCAACATTGGGTAATGGCCTTTTTTAACCAGAAAAGCATTGGAATCACCACTGCTTAAGGGTGAAGGAATTAGCACCTTCAGTTGTTAGAATCACTCCAACAGTAGCAGTAGGGGAAATCACACTTGCATGAACCACTATAGGCAAAGAGGGGAGAGTTGGCCATTCCTTTTCCTTTGTTTTCATACTCTAAAACAAACTAAGAAACACTATTTCTAACTGATTAGGAAGAGGATGCAAATCCTAGTTGACTCAGGACTATGAATAAGACAAATCCTACTTGACTTAGGACTATGACTTTTATTTACTAACATGACTTTTGACTTGACAAAAAAAAAAAAAACTCCATCCAGTTGGATTAAGGGTCTGCTTTGGGACCTGGATGAATTCCTGGTAAAATGCATAATCCCTAATACAATTGGATTCAATTCCTACTGTTACTAGGAATACTAATTCTTAATGCTATTAGAAAAACTATCAAAAACTCAAATAATCAGAGTGTCATCATCATTGTGATTTAAGCCTTGCCACAACTATATAGGGCCAGCTACATGAATCCGGTTTTGCTGTTCCATTCTGTTCAGTGCCATATATTGTTAGATTATGGCTTTATGAGCCCTTAAATCATTTCTTACTACCTCACCCATACCCTTTTTGATCTGCCCCTAGTTCAAACAATCAGAAAATAACTACAAAAAGTTGACTATCCTAACTACAAAAAATATATAGAAAATTCAGAAAATCCCAGGTTTGACTTGTTAGATTCTGCATCACTTTCATTTTTAAGTATCTATTGGATGGATGATAGAAGTCTACCCAGGTCCTTGGCAGGTATGACACTTTACATAGAAAGCAAAATCTTTTGCCACCACTATGAACTTTTGTTTATATCAAGATTCAAGATTAGCCAAAACATTGACAATTCCACTTGTTAGGGAGGGGGTGACAGGATCTATTTTGGGGGTCTTGGGCTAGGGGATATATTTTTGTATTGGGACTTCATTTGTTATTTGTTGGGGGAGAGTAGCTTGGTGATGTTAATAATCCCTTTTAATTTTGCTCTTATCAATTAGTTAAAAGAATCACCATGCTAAGTAGACATGATTGGGGGACCATTATATAATATGGTTGTTCTTGATGCTACTTCAATGCAGATCAGTTCACAGAAGAAGAAAACAGGTGTCATTGCTCCAAAGCGTTTTGTTCAGAGAGTGAAGAAACAAAATGAACTCTTCCGCAGCTACATGCACCAGGTAAATGCCTAACATTGAGGTATGTCTTTATCCATATTAATATGGGGCTGGTTGTAGTAGCCCATGACAACTTGGTAGCAGGATTGCATGCCCTAGATCTCTGGATAAACCAAGTGAAATGTAAATCATTATTGATCAACTATGATCGCCAAGGAGGGTCATTGTGGTGAGGTGATGTGGTTACTTTAACATTGTAATTGTCATCATGAGCAATGGTTAGTAAACCACTCAACCAAACTGACCTCTACTAAGCCTTGTCCCAACTATATGGCATCCTTTGGTTGCACTGCAATTTCATTTGCATTTGTGCAGAAGTATGGGAGTAGAAGTGAGTTCAGTGCATATTCTGGTTTACTCTTGTCATAGGTTTTACTTTGTTTTGTTTGTTAGCAGTATTGGTGAAGTAAAATAAAACCTGAAGCAAAGTAAACCTAAGCAAAGCAAACCACGATTTGTTCTCTTCTCGTTGACATTTCCATGCATTTGTACTAGTACAAATAAAATTTCAGTACAAACAAGCAGATCCTATGTAGTTGGCTAACATGAATCCTGTTCTGCCATCCCACTCTGTTCAATATTATATCTAGAATTTGATTCAAATTTAAGCCAGAGAATTCTAGATGCATATTTTATTATTTATGCATATAGGTTTCGGTCATATATATTGCCCCTTTAATGCAATTGTACAAATAATATATTAATATAGGTAACTTTATTAGTGAGTCTGATTATATTTATTAATGCCGAGGAAAAAAGAAGTGAGTAGCAGCTTAAAGCTGTCTATCTAACAGAAAACAGAATTAGAAAACATAAATATTTAAAATTAGTCCCCAGTTCTGTCATCCCAAATGAGATTTGTCTCTTTATAAATTAGTACACATAATATAGGTTCCCCTATCCATATGATTTGGGCAACAGAAAAGGTTCACTCAACAAGTCTAGATTATTTAGATACTATGCTACTTATCAATGATTTGAATTCTCTAATTAAGTACTTTAGCTTTGTAAGTTCAAGAAATGTTAGGCCACCTTTTTAACTCCTAATGAGTGTCTTTATTTGGAAAATTGGGGTTGAGTGGTTTTGTTTTGGCTCAAGAATTCAAGGGCTGGCCTAGTAGAAGAGGACAAATTGATTGATGATCATTAGATCAAGTGATGTATTGTGCTTGCTGATCTGATTGTTATTCTTGTCTTCTATGACATGATTACTTGCATTCAGCTTACCATTGGGGTTAACAGAGTAAGACAATTGGGTTATCACATATGTTTTGCACAATTTCTTTCATTGGACCTATGACTATAAATTGCACTGGAGGAGCAAAATTCATGAGAAAGATAGGGAGCGGGAAGGCATAGAGGATGAAGATTTTCCATTTAATGAGGTTGTTCAGGTCAAGAGGAAAATTGATTTGAAAATAGTGGTGGATACAGGAGTTCAAATGATTCAGAAATTGGGTTTTTCTTCTTTAGGTGGGGAGGAATTTGCAAGAGAAATATTTCTGGAGTTGGAAGAGATTTTCCATTAAAGACGCCCAAGGTGGACCTCTGGATCTATTCTTTTTTTTGAAGATAAAATAAAAAATTATTAAAGAAAAAAAGAAAGTACAAGAAAGGTGACCAACAGTCACTGGAGAGAAGCAAAAATATGACATAACAAACTCCACCCAACACTGCATACAATTCCAAACACTATGGACTACCTACAACTCTGAAACTTAGGGATAATATTTCCACTCAGCCCCAAACAAACCTTACAAAAATTACAGCCTCACACTAGTAAACTTAACATAACCAACCTTTAGACATTACCAAACTCCACTGAAACAAAAAGACCAACTTCATTACTTGGCTCTTTCCAGTGCTTGAGTGGGAGCTTCACTTCTGGTGCTACTTCTTTGATTTTTTCACCTTTTTGATGGGACACATCCCAAAAAGGCCTCCTTTCAGTCATAGTTGTCAAGGTGATGCCTAAGCGACTAGGCGGTTTTACAGTGTCGCCTCACCCAAACGCCCATAGTTTTACCTGAATAAAGCAAGTAGATTTCTGTTCTACTGTAATTCAGAAAAGAGAAGGAAAGAAAAGAAGAGTAGAGGAGAAGAAGAAGAAGAGAAGAGAAGAGAGAAGAGAGAAGAGAGAAGAGAGAAGAGAGAAGAGAGAAGAAAGAAGAAAGGGGAAGAAAGGGGTTCAGTTGATGATCCCTGCCGCCCCATACACTTTTTTATTTATAGTTTTGGTTCCTTACAAGAATAGGAAACAAAACATAAAGTCCTAGTCCTAATAATAAAACAAAACTTAAAAAGGATAAACATAACATGGATAAGGATAAGGCCAGCCGGCCCAATTTTAAAAGAAATTAAAAACAACTAGATGTGGGTATGGTGGGTATGGAACCACACATACTAGAGCTTGAGTGTGGGTATGGAACCCCAAGCTCGTGGCTTACTAACTATTTCTACACTCCCCCTCAAGTTGGGAGTAGATATTTGTCATGCCCAACTTGCGTAAATCTGTCTCCAATTTGATTTTTGTGACTGCTTTGGTGAAAAGATCAGTTAACTACATGTCTGAGGCAATGCAAGGAAGGCATACTTGAGATGTGACTCGCTCTCGATAAAATGTCTGTCAACCTCGATTTGCTTAGTCCTGTCATGCTGTATTGGGTTGTGGGCAATATTAATTGCAGCTTGATTATTGCAATACAGCATTAGAGGCTTCTCATAATCAATTTCCAACTCATTAAACAATGATCTCAGCCATAACACTTCTGCAACACCATTGGCCATGGATCTGTATTCTACTTCTACACTGGAGCGAGCAACAACATTCTGTTTCTTGCTTCTCCAGGAAACAAGATTCCCCCCTACAAATGCACAATATCCAGAGGTGGACCTCCTGTCATTAACACATCTAGCCCAATCCGCATCTGTATACACTTATATTTTCATGTGACCATTATTCTTGAAGAGTATACCTCTCCCTGGACACCTCTTTAAGTAAGAAAGAATCATTTCTACTGCAAGGAGGTGGGTGGTCCTAGGAGAATGCATGTATTGACTGACAACACTGACAACATAAGAAATATCTGTCTGAGTTAGGTTGAGATAAAGAAGTTTCCCAACCAGCCTTTGGTACATAGCCCTGTTCTCAAGAAGTTCTCCACTTTTTGCACTTATTTTATGGTTAAGCTCAATAGGAGTGTCAGCATGTTTTACTCCTAACTTTCCAGCTTCTTCCAATAAGTCTAGAACATACTTCCTTTGAGAGATAAAAATGCCATTCTTAGATCGAGCTATCTCAATTCCTAGGAAATAGTGTAATTTCCCTAGGTCTTTCACTTCAAATTCTTTGTGAAGATGCTGTTTAAGAGTTTCAATTTCACTAATGTCACTCCCTATTATCACAATGTCATCTACATAGACTGCAAGTAGAGTTAGGAAATGATCTGTCTTCTTAAAGAAGAGAGTGTGATCTGACTGAGCTTGTATCTATCCAAATTTGTCCAAAGCTAGTCTAAACCTATCAAACCAAGCTCTTGGAGATTGTTTCAGCCCGTACAAGGCCTTCTTCAAAAGGCAAACTTTATTTCCTGCTTCTGTACTATAAAAGCCAGGGGTAATTCCATGTATACTTCTTCTTGCAAGTCTCCGTTGAGGAAGGTATTCTTAACATCCAGTTGAAATAGTGGCCATGAGAAGTTTGCAGCAATGGATAGAACTTTGATAGTGTTCATTTTTGCAATAGGTGCAAATGTTTCTCTATAGTCTATGCCATAAGTTTGTGTGAATCCTTTTGCAACCAATCTAGCCTTATACCTCTCTACAGTACCATCAGCATTATATTTCACAGAAAACATCCATCTGCATCCAACATATTTCTTCCCTTCAAGTTGGTTAACTAGTTCCCATGTATTGTTCTTGACAAGGGCATCCATCTCTACTTGCATTGCTTCCTTCCATTCAGGTATCAAAAGGGCTTCTTGTACTTTTCTGGGTATAGGAATAGCAGCAATAGATGCCAATTAAGATCTGTAGGATTCTGAGAGACAAATATAGGAAAGGAACTTGGAGATGCAATGGGCAGTGGATGAGGTGCAACGGCGCTTCCCTTTAAGAATAGCAATTGGAAGATCAAGGTCATCTGACGGTGGAGGCTGAACATTTGTAGTAGTGGGATCAATAGTGGGAGCAGTAGTAGTGTCTGGATCTAGGACTGTAGAAGATGTTGGAATTGACCTGGATTGCTGTTGAGTACGAGAATCAACCTACCTCCACCACTTTCTGTGATACACCCTCAACTCTCTGCATTTTTGACAACCCTCCTCACAACTCTCCCCCTTAGTAACTGGGACAGATAAAGGAATTTTTGGGGCTGGAACTGAAATCCCTTCCTCACTATTCTCCCCCTGAGGAGAAGCCCTATGATAGTAGGGCATATCCTAAAAAAAAGTGACATCCATGGACACAACACTTCCCTGAAACAAGCTCATAACAACAATATCCCTTTTGATTTTGTGCATACCCAAGGAAAATACATTTAGTAGCTTTGGGATGAAACTTGGAGCGATGAGGTCCAAGGATTTGAACAAAACAAGTACACCCAAAAGTTTTGAGGGGAATAGTGAATAGGTCCTTATCTGGATATAGGAAATTGAACGGGGTTTGCATGTTTAGAACCCGTGAAGGAACCCTGTTAATAAGGTACATGGCTGTACGGATTGCATCCCCCTAGAAGTGTATGGGAACATTAGAGTTGAGCATGATGCTTTTGGCTACCTCTAAGAAATGCCTGTTTTTTTCTCTCAGCAACCCTGTTTTGCTGAGGTGTACGAGGACAGGTTCTCTGATGAATGACCCCATGATTAAGGAGACAGGATGCCAAGGGTTTTGGTAAGTATTCCTTGGCATTATCAGATCTAAGAGTTTTGATCTTGGTTTCAAACTAGGTTAGAACCATCTGGTGGAAAGCCTGGGTTAGAGAAGGGACCTCATCTCGAGAGTGC